AAAATCGGTTGTGTGAAAATCAATTCCTGTATTTCAATAGCTGACTGCTTGGGTCGAGATCACTTAGCTTTAGAGTTGTGAAAGAGAAGGCTGACAACAGTCATGCAGGTTATCAGAGTAAAGTTCAGGTTTGGGGGGAAAAAAATAGATATTTTCAATCATTAACTGTTACTCATTTTGGTGCATGAAGTAGGATTAATGCTATGGCTTGTCCCTAGGAACAGACTGTCCCTAGGAACTTGCTCCGAACTCAGTGATAACAGAGCACCAGGCTGCTTTTGCAAGGTAACAAGAATCAGCAGCGCTGGAACAACCTTGTTGAATGCACAGACCTGTTTCGCTGAACTTGCTTGAAATTGCAGTGTTGCTAAAAAGACAGTAACTTCGGGATTTACTGGTTTGTGATTTTCACTTTATTCTGCCAATCTCTTATTTTGCACTCTGCTTTCCTTTCACTCCAGTATTATGGAAATGTGGCTGTCCCTCCCTATACTATGATCTACATAGTTTGTCATTTTGCTGTCCTCAGTGAGAACAACAGCATTTCCCAATATGATAATGGGATACTGAGTTTATATCTGGAAATGCAGCTACAGATTTTTGGTTTTTGACCAGGTGTTCCAAAGAAGATAAACCTATTCTGCGGACTACTTTAGATTTTCCTTGGAAATGCAATTAGTTGTGTGTCTGCATCCACTGAAATACATTAAACCAAGACTGTCAGACTTTGCAATCTAAGTCAGGATTTGCTGAACCTGCTTGAGCTTTACTACAAACACTGAAATATAATTCCTGTATTTCCCATCAGGAAAATGAATTATTTTTTTTTCTACAATCCACCTACAGACATCTTTTGTCTCCTTTATCTCCCTCCTTTGCTTTTCATTAATAAAGAAAATATCACTGGGAGACTTTCCCCACAGATATATACAGAAGAACATAGAATAAACCTGACTTTAAAGAAATAAATACCAATGATGCCAAGCTAATGAGAACACTCTGTGAAATCTATCAGAAACAGAGCATGGCAGAGGTGAGTTACAGTTTATTCTTAATTAACATCTGTGTGCTCTAGACCTGTAAATAAGTAACAGCAGCATTAGGATTATAACTTGTAGTGTTTGTGCTTTGTACCCCTAGAAGTGTTAGCAAGTAACTTTTTATCATTTTGCCTTACTGATTTCCTCTGCACACTTTTACTTAAAACACTGTAAAATGCTGATGAAAAGAAATGTACAGTCTGCAAGAGGATTATTAAACATCATTGATTTTTTTTTTTCCTTAAGATGGAGGCATAACTGCAGTGTCAAAAATAAGTATCATGAATGGCTAGTTCTGCAGTCTAGCAGGGAATTCAATCAGACGGTTTGACTATTGGAGCACTTTAAAAAGAACACCTAGTGTTAAAAGCAAGGATATCTAGCGACTCCTTCAGTTCACACTTAGAATATCTCCCAGTGAAAAATGCAGAGAGATGCTTTTTCTTCTATTTACAATTTCATTTATTCTCGTCTACTCGTTTCTATTTTTTCATGGTCCAAGGAGAAATAAAACAAACACACGTGAACACTGTGAAAGTTCATTGCCTCCCTCCCTGGTGTTGCTGAAATAAAGGATATTATTTAGATACGTTTTTAATCGTGAATGCTCAGGTGCAGCTTGCAGTCTAATCGGATTTTTTTTATTTATTTAATTTTGTTTTGGTGAGAAGTTTTGAAAATATAATATTCGTCGTGGGGTTTAGCACATTAAACAATACATAAACTTTGGACAAAGTGACTCCTGTTATCAGTTTGATTTTCTAATTTCTCTTAAAAAAAAAAAAAAAAAAAAAAAAAGATACAGCTACCTGTAATCTCAGCCCAACAGGGCACCTAACTCACGGAGGCGTTTAGAACTGTAATCATAAAACAACTTGTGGTTAATTCCTGTTACTATTAAACACTCAGCAGCCCACGCTGCAGCCCCTGGTCTGACGCCTGAGGCTCACACCGAGTTTCCTTCCCCCCTTCGCCAGCCCCCGCCGCCGGCAGCGGGCTCAGCACCGCGGACAGCGCCCGGAGCGGCCCCCGTCAGCACCGCGGACAGCGCTCCCGGCCGCCCCCGCCCCGCCGCAGGTGTCGAAGAACCTGGGGGTTTTTGCCCTTTCCAGTCATTTCACAGCGCGGAAAGGAAATTAAAACCTGTTATCGGCTTCTTTAAAGATATATATTATGCCCTCTATTATGTTAGCTAGCCAGCTATTTTATGGCATTGTATGGGGTTCAGAAGAAGTACCGATGTCCTCCTTATCTACTATCAGATATCACCTAATGCTCTGTATTAACATTCCTCCCCCTTCTTTCAATCCCTAGCTCCCACCTTAAAAAAAAAAAAAAAAAAAAAAAAAAAAAAAAAAGTCGTAGTTAACCCAGAAATATTTTCTCAAGAATACGAATACGAGTCCCTTATATAAAAAAATTCAAATCTTACAAGACATCAGATGTTTAGAACTCACTAAATATTTGGTGACTGAAGACCACTTATAGACTATATAATTGACTAAAGCCTCAGTCTTCCCCACCCTAGACTCCTTTTCTGTTATTTGGACTTTAACTCCACTTCTTCTTCATGAAAAAGAAAAGGATACCTTCTTGCATCCTCCAGACTGACTTCAACATGAAAAGAGGTAGATATTCTTAGTGCCTTCAATATTTCTTTCCCTGTGAGATGTACAATTCAAAGTCTGGAAATCCCTAATAAAATGTCATGGTAGATAAGCTGGTCTTCGGTTTTGGGATCTTGTCACCACTGTTACACAGCCCTTTTCATATTAAAGTCTGTATGAAACTGCCCTCTACACTTCAGTAATCATCAGCTGGGAAATCTACAATTCCTTGGATATATGTTTTTATTTGTTTGGTCATCTATTGTAGACATGGTGCTAACACATCTCCAATACACAAGGACATCTTTAATACACAGGACTCTGTTCAAGTGTAGCTGATATGAAAAACAATAATCCAGCTACAGACAGGGAAAGAAGAAGAGACAGTCTGAGGCCTTACATATTTTCTGGCTAATAAAAATCCCTACTACAGTTTTAGCTGTGTGTCAAGTACAAATGGTGTACATTATGTGCATAATGTTTCTTTGGAAAGGGGAGATGTGTGATTCTGATTACCTTACTATATCAGGAGCCTTTCCCATCAGATCTAATTTTTATGTGCTGTTATCATTATAAAAGTTAACCCAGTTCCAGCTAGCTGCCACCTACTGGGATGTATAGTTTTATCATACTACTTTAAAAAGGAATGGGCTTTTATTTTCAGGTCATAGCTGTGCGTCTAAGAACAGATAGTGAGGTTTTTATATCATGTAATCTACTTTTTGACCTCTCACAACAACAGCTGCTATAAATTTAATGTATGTACAACATATGGCCCCCCAAATGTTTCTCGGACATTTTTCGGCAAATCCTCGCAAACGTTTCAGATTCACATGCACCACAGTCCTCCTGCTGTTGCAATCTGGTGTGAGGAGAGCCACAGCTTACTGCAACACCTGACCAGCATCTCTAGATCTTTAGAATCAAGTATTGCAGCTTTGCTGACGAAGCAGTAACACAGTCCTCCCTTCTAAAACGTTTGCCAAAGTATTCAAATGAATGTTGATATTATCATTTAAAACAAATTGCGGCCCACTGGCATTTCACTCCCACCAGCTATATAAAAAACCCCGTAGGTCCTTCTCTGTTTGTTATTATCTCAGTCCAAATTTACAACCAAGTTTCTGCTGCACCAATGATTAATGACATTTTAAGATGGTAATTAATTTTTAGCTAGTGGAAAGACTTGTATTCTAATTAATGAAGCGAGTGTGCAATAGACTTTCCTGTTCTGGCACTTTTGAGTATCACAGCAATGCTCTTTCCTAGCAAGTTTTAAGCAGCAAGACCACATACTTTTGACAGGATCTACAGATCAGCCTTTGGTCCCTTCAGCTTCCTTTGGGGTTGGTGCAAGATTTTTGGAGGAAAACGATGATGCTTTATGCTTTTCCTGCTGTACTCCCTCAAAAGTTTCTAAGGAGAATGTGAAGAGAGGTTTCCATTACAATATATTCATTCCTTCTCAGTGCACGCAAGGCTCTTGCTATCATGCCTGCACTCCGTAGGCAGGAATGTCTCT